ACAGCGTTATTAAGTAATTAAGTAGGTTTCTCTTCACAAAGGCAAATGAGTACTGGTACATCGCATATTGAATTTCAGGTAATTTTCTTCTCATATTAAAGGCTAAGAAAGGAAACACACATGAATAAGCACAATGAATGCACCGTAATATACACCAGCATTTAAGTGTGCTGTTGTTTTGCAGCCATCCACCAGATTAGCTTTTTTCTTGTTTAAATCACAGTTAAATTTTGACCTTAGAGATTTTCCATTTCATCTACAACTGTAGTCTGGCATGTAAGCCGAACATTTCTTCATGTACTGACATAACAAGCTGTGTCTTCTTCCTGGCAAAGGGACAGACTTCCCCAAAACTGTGTTATGGATATACTCCAATGTGAGATGAGAATCAGATCAGCTTGATAAACCTGACCTCATATGCATTACTGGGTGATGGAAAATGTATTGTTTGAGAAATAAATTAATGTTTTCAAGGACAAGACACTCTTGCATGTCCAAACAGGTTAAGCCGTGTACCACCCTGCAGCCCCCGTGTTAACCTTGCATGCGTCCTTTCCTCCGGACGGGTGGCCGGCGCAGATCATGTTCGCCGTGATGTTGCCGTTGAAGGAGTCGCTGGCGTTGCATCTCGCGGCTGAAACAATGGGCACTGTGACCGTCCTGAGCTTAACAGGGACCTGTCCTCCACCCACCCTAACGTGGCCCCATCCAGACACCTGACACAGGTGGCCTTCGACCACGCCTGTCCCCTGTCTGGGGAGAGGCGCCAGCGACACAAACTTGTTCAGGACCATAGGGGCACGCAACTGAGAGTAACAGAAAATATTAGATGGTTTCTGGTAGGAATAGGAGTTTATGAAATGTTCACACACGGTTTTGAAAAGATATGAAGAAGGAAAACTGAATCTCTGCAGTACCTTGATGAGCATGATATCGGCGTTGTTGGTGCTGCTGTTGTATGAGGGATGAATGACCAGCTTGTGGGGTTTAGCATACTGCTCAGTACCCTCGAAGATATTTACGTTGTAGTCACCTGCCACTATCATCATCTGATCTGCCCTAAAACACACACATACAAGCATTGCATTGAAACATCACTTTTAAACATTATCATCTTCATGCATTTTTTTTCCACCTTCAAGATGTGTATATGTCCAATGATGGGAGGGTAAACAATATATTACTACTCTGAAAAGTAAAATAAGATATTTTTACATTTCCTCATTTTTCAATTATGTATTTACTTTCTAAGCAACTTATAAAACAAATGAGCTTTAGTAGCATGTACAAACACTGTATACATGGACTAAATTAGACTTGGCTTCCAAGTTTTTGACCAAAAAATTAGAGATGAGTTAAATGTGAAGCTAACAGGAACCCTTTCTCCTTTTTGTGTTGACTAATTCTCCAATAGGAGAGCTCAAAACTGAAAGGTGTGGTTGCTGCTACACAAAAAGCTGATTGTCAACAGATTAAGGAACTGACTCCATAAAATCAGGGCTTATAGCTGCGATGATTATTTTTAAAAGTCAGAAATCTTTGCCTGCAGATGTTGATTTATTATAATTGCCTTAGCAGATAAAAATAAGCAAGTGTGGTGAAAAAAAAATATTTTATTCGGTTGCATTATAATTCTGCACCGTAGTAGTTGTCCAGTAACACACAGATAGTCTCATAATAAAAACAAAAACCTCACTTCTTTCCTAAGTATTTGCACTTCAGCAGTGTAATTGATCAAAATAATATATTCAGGAGAACAGCCTATTGAATAATTGTTTGAATAAGTAAATGCCATATGGGAAAATATGTCAGCAGTGTAGAAATTTACCAGCTCAGGGTGTGGAACAGGACGGACTGTGACTGCAGCTGGATGGATCGTGAACAATGGCTTACTGTGATCTGGCAGGACTGGGGCAGTGCTACAGAGATATGGATGATTTCCAGGAACTAGACAAGATGACACTTCACTGTCACTCTGTGTTTAACACACACCCGCGCACATGCACACACCCACAGACACGCGCACACACAGGAATGATGTTGCACCAAGGTCAGCTGACTCAACTGTATCTGTTTGTGTGCAGTTTGACCTCCAACACACAGGTTTGCTGTGACATTACCTGTTTAGAAAGGTTTTTTTTTCTCCTTTGCTTCCATGAATCTCGTCCTGTCATGAGGCTCAACACTATAAACTGACTAAAATTCACATAATTAAATAATGTGAGCAATTGGATTAAATTTGGGGGTTTTACAGTAAAGGGGGCTTAATGAAAGTTGCACAGTACATTTATTCTAACAACGCAGCAAAATATGTCAAATGTGACAAATGTTGCTTCTTAGACATTAGAAATTATGATACAGAGTAATTTTATTTGGAATGCACGATATATTCGCATAAATATTGGTATCGGCAGATGTCAGACAATTTTTCTTATGTAATAAAACTGGGGCGATATTAATACCTGATGTTTATTTCCGTCTTGCTTGCCACTTGTGTCTGTGCTTCAGGAGCGGGAGGGAATAACATGGGACAGTGACAGTGATGCAACAGAGGATTGTGGGGTGTTCAACTGAGGCAGAGAAGCAATGTCAGCACACAATGGACATTTTCCATAATGTGGAAAGGACTATATGTTACATATGTTATACATGAACGAATATATGTTATATGAATCATGTGGCGGTTTCCTTCGAGCTCATAGTTACAGATGATTACAGCTGTTGAACACTCTTACCCGATGTTACAGTGCGCTGCAGTCAGAACCCAGTACCTGTGAACTAGCGATCCCCCACAAAAGTGTTGGCGGCTTGTTCTCTGAAGAGACACCATGTATTTGATGGAGTTTGGCGCAGCGACGTGGCCGCCGATGATGCGGCTCTGCATAAGCGCTCGGCCTGCACGGAGAAAACAATCAGGGTTTGATCTTGACACGTGTTTACAGACAAGATTTACTGTGAATTACTCATCATCGCAATCGGATGTGAATTTATGAACAGCCAAATCTCTCCTGGTGAATTGGGTTTGCAGTGCAGCATTGGGATAGTTTATCTTCCGAAAAAGAAAAAAAAGACAAGAAAACAACAGCAAGCAACCAAAGCTGCATTGGAGGAACCCTAATGACAGATGGTCAAAGTAAAACAGAACGCCCTCAGTGAGTAGAAAGGCTGTAAAGTTGCTCGTTAGCCCACTTCCTCCAAGTTAATTTTCCCATTTAGAAAATTGCTACATTTCTGCCATATGGGGGGCCTCGGTGCAACAGAGGTAATGGAACGCTGCGTCCCTGAGTCACTACTTCACTCTGGCTGCGGAAATATTACAGCAGGGACTCTCCTGCCAGCGTTATGTAACTCCAGAGCCTCTGACCTCAGGCTGCACAATCAGAGACGGAGGAGAAGTGGGGATCATTTCCTGCAACTCCTCAACATGAGGGGAAGAAGTGTAGACTCTCTCAAAATCCTTCACATCCATTCCTGCTTATGATTGATTGAGATTTTTCTTTCTTCAACGCCATTCTAAAATAATTAAGACAGCACTTTTCCTGTGACTCAGCAACTTTCTCAGCTTTGTCTTTTTAAACTTTTTTACTTTTTCCTAATTTGCATCTTTAACGCTTAAACTAGTTTCTACTGGTTGTAAATATGATTTTTAAGACATTCTGAGGCATCGTAAAATTTGTTAGCAATATTCGGACTGTTTTAGAAAACAACTTTGCTGCTCAAAAGTCCTTTTTTTTTTGTTTAGCAATGAACCAGTCATGGCTGCAGCATGTCCACTGAGAGAAAGGACAAACTGTTGGTCTCTTTGCTGGACTGTTGTGTCACTCACAACAAATATCTAATTACTAAATCAATCTGTATATCGTTTGCACTTCTGTAGCATTTATAATCTCATCCAAATTGCACACTACACTTGAAAAAAGTTATCGAGGGCCTTGTAGGACTTTGTGTGTTAACCAAGGCCAGTGCACTAGCGACTCAACAGCCAACATTGAACCTGAACTATTACCATGAAATAGAGTCCAAAACCAGACTGTTGGCTCACTTGTGGGCTTAGCCTTTTGCTCTGATTTCACTCAGCTGCAGCCTTCCAGTTTAGCAGGTCAGCTAAAAAGGGAGAGAAAAAGGTGAATCGGGCTGCTGGTTCTGGTTTAGATTGCTGGATGTCCTGAGTGGTCCTTCGTTTTTTTTTTTTTTTTTTTTTTTTTTTTTTGCTTCAAAAAGCAATTGCATGTGCAGAAAAATAGTTGAGCTCTCTGGAAGTCAACCAATGTGAGAATTTGCAGGAACATCCAAATCAAACTAGAGGATCTTAGCAAAGTCTATAATATGAAAAAATATATATTTTTCGTAACCCAATCTTGCAAGTTGATCAGATAGTACTGGATCATCTTAGCAAAGCTTATTATTGGTTCTGTATTTTTTTCATCGCTCTTAACATTCAGCTTTGCCTCAGGAGCCAGCAGGTGAAATGAGGGATGAGTCGTTTTCTGATGCTGATCAGCCAATCATATTCAAATTTGGTTTAAATTACTGTTATTATTATTATTATTATTATTATTATTATTATTATTATTATTATTATTATTATTATTATTATTATTAAGGCACATGAAGAGATATAGAAAATAAACAGACTAACCTTGAAGATAAAACTTACTCCACTCTTGTGCTATTTTAGATTTAATTAGCCAGCCATGTCGGCATTTGACTAAGTTAATATTCAGGCTAACATCAGAGTTTAAACTCAAAGCATTACTCATCATGGATTTTCTCATAACACATTTCTAAATTATTCAAATAAGAAATATTTACGTAGTTAACTCTTCACTAAGGAAAAGATAAAGATTGTTTTATGTTGAATCGTGGGTGGATCATAAAATTAAAGCATGTCAAATTGAATTTTCTCTTTGTTGATTCTGCAGTGTTCATGGATCTTTGTGTTCTCTCAAGTGTCCAAAGGAGCAATGTCCAGTTTTAACCTCATGAGGCTGGATCGGGGAAATAGTGGGGCTCCTTCTCTTTCTAAAAGCATCTTTTTTCTTTCTTGCAGTAGTGCATTGCATTGTGCATGCACAAAATGTCTGCAGAAGAATGACTCACTATCTGAAAGTTAAGAAGGAAGGCAGCGATCTGTTGGTCCGACATGTTCAAAGTTTTTACTCTGGCTGAACAAGACAGCAGCAATTACATTTCAAATTTAATTTACAAATTAGTTAATTTATCACAAAGGAAATAAAACATACCAATTTATTTAATCTATTCAATGATTTTTTAAAACTATGCAACAATAAAGGAGATACATTAAACTATTCCTCTTTAGGCATTTATCCCAAAAGATGTACTCACTGTCGACCGCAGTTAGCTCCAGGAGCAGACAGGCTAAACTCAAGAGCAGGTTCATCGTATAGCAAACAAGGATGTTACTTTAGACGATAAGACTGAATCACTGCAGTCAAGCAGCCTTTTCTCTGTCAGCCCAGGCTGTTCATTCCTTCTTCTCTGGTACCAGTGGAAGTGATTGCAATCAAACTATATCCTTCAGTTTCCCATTACAAAAAAAAAAAAAAAAAAGTTTTAATTTCATTGGTTTTCATGAAGCTGCAAAGTCACTCTGGGATGGGCTGAGAGGAGAAAAAGAGAAGAAGGAGCAACAAAGTTCACATTCAGAAAGTCTTTCTAGTCAGAACTGTCTGTCCTCTGACCCTTGTGACCTGTTGAAAGGCCTGACGTGGTTACCATAGCAACAAAGATGGCACTGTGCCCGGGTGGGTTCATCTATACTGTATCAGCACGCCGTGTTTCAACGTCCAGGATTATCCCTGCTGAAGTATCTGTGTGTGCGTGTCTGTGTGCCTGCGTGAGTGTGTGTATGTGTTCATGTGTTTGATACAGTCTAAGGACCATTTTTCCAACAAATGCTGCACTGAGAGGACCGACTGGTCCTTATGGGGCACAAAGCCCTGTAAGAAAAGGTGCTTCAGGACAAAGTTGTGAACTGAGTTGAGGTTAGGTTTAAGTTTAGGGTTAGAAATGAATGAAAAATGAATGGAAGTCAATGCAAAGTCTGTAGAAAAATGTACTATGTGTGTGTGTGGGGGGGTGGGGGGTTGTGTGTGTGTGTGTTTCTGTATGCTGCTTTCTGTGGTTTTGTTGTGTAATCGTGGGGATATTCACACAGAGGGATTCTGCAGACAAGTGTCTCTTTCTGACTCATTGGAGTCTGTGCCAGCAATGATAAGAAGTCCTTATCAACCCAGTGGCTTCGACAACGATGATGATGATGATGATGATGATGATGATGATGATGATGATGATGATGATGATGATGATGATGATGATCAGCCATCTGGCAAGTCAATATCATCCACAGTGGGAAGGCTGGGAGGGAAGTGTTGGTGTGTGTATTGTTGTGGGAGGGATAAAGGGTGAGGGGAGGCGGTCACCTCACCTCCTGTCGTCCTACATGTGGAGCCATCTGACCCACTGATGTTTTACCCAGATAAAGGCAGAAAAAGGCATAAACGGCTTTGTGTGTGTGATCTTCCATGGCCAGGTGTTTCCCAAGTCCGAGCTGCAAATGAACACAGCACCAGACTAACAACTTTCTTCCAAAACGGTGAAAAAGACTTTCCAAAATTTCCTTTCTACGTTTTTTTTTTTTCTTTCGTGCATCATTAATTTCTTATTTTATGAACTGCATATTTTTAAACTTAATTTATTTCAACTGAGCGGTGGTCAGTTGAACAGACCACCCCCACTGTGGAACATGGCGGTGGAAGCATCATACTGTGTGAGGATGCTTATCGTCAGCAGGAGATGGAAAGATGGTTAGAGTTACTGAAATAAAGAAAACACAGATCCACATTTACATTGAATGGTTCAGACAGAATCACATTTATGCTCTAAAATAGCCCAAGAAAATCCAGTTATGATTCTGTAGTTGTCTTGTTAATGGACTTTCCAAACCGCAGACCTGTGCGGCTTCTCCAGAGATATTATGGCTATTTCTCTGATTATTACTCTTCCTACCACTTCTGTCAGTTCGGGTGGAAATGCACAGCACACTTTTTTATGCTTTTATTCGTAAAAGATTTTAAAAACCGTGTATCGCCTCCTTTCAACTAAGCACTAGTTTGTGTTGTTCTTTGGGAAAAGGTCGATTGTCCTGCTTTTTCTATTTTTCGACTTCAACATTCATTTCCCAAAACATTCCCTGTCTCACAAACACAGCAGACACAAAGGCACACTCTGTTTTGTCACAGCGACGTTTCACCCAAGGGAAAGCTGAGCATGCTATCACCTTCCAACCTCACAGGTGGAATGACACCTTGGGGAGTGCTGATTGTATGTAGGCTAGGAGTTGCAAACACCCACACGGCTGCAAAGTATGTAAGGAAATAAATGACGGGAGTCTGGGGCGAATGTGGCTGTGAGGGAAAATGAAAAAAGAACGGAGTTACATTTGAGTGCGATTCAGCTGGAGCACGGTGACCAACGCCTTCACACATGGTCATCATTTTTGATCACGAGTCAATGTGAGATGCACAAAGAGGGTTAAGCAGATTTACTCTCTGAGCAGCTTTACAGGAATACTGGAGGGGAAAAAAAAGAAACCTTTTCCTTGTTCAAAGAAAGAACAACCGCAATCATCTCCTGCCACATCTCAGGTGGACAGAACATTAGAGGGCTCTTTATAACATCGCTGGATATAAAAAACATGTCGAACAAGTATAGGTTGTCATTTCACTGGCTTGTTGGGTTTCACGTCTGCAAAGATTCACTTTATCTGCAACGCTGAACAATAAGTTGATGCTGTGAGAACAAAGGCCCCCCGAAGAAAAAGGTGTAATAAAAGAAGGATAAAGTGCTTTTTTTTTCTCCTAGTACTGGGTCAGATACTCTCCTTTCTGAATGTGACAGAGATGTAATAATGGTGAGGGATAATGAGAGGGACAGGCTTATTTAGAGTATAAAAGAGTCCCGAGACTTCTCAGCCTTCTCTTGATGTGTGGGAATGTTTTAGTGCATCTTGACACTGGTAATTTGGAGGATTTTGACACAACTGTTGATAAGGTGAGAAAGCTTATATATCGTTGCCACTAAGCAGCGAGAGTGTTTTTCACTTCTCAGCCAGACTTAGACTGAAAAGGATTTTCATTCGCTGTCCAAGACGTTGGTTTTCGATTGCAAATGAGAATGAAATCTCTACAAATTGAAACAATGTAGTTTGTCTTTTTGCATGTCGCTTGACATTTAAAGCATCAAAGACTTTTTTTGTATACACCTCCAAATGATCAAGTGAAAAATGTTTATAGGTAATACAGCAATTAAATCCTTCTCATAAGTGCCTGCCAGCTTTTTGCATGTTTCTGGTGGTGTTTTGATCATTTCTCTTTGGTAACAAACTCCAAGTGTTTGAGGATGGAAGGCCTCATTGCTATCACCCTAATCTTTATCTCAATGTACATAAAGATTAAGAAGATTAATGTTGCATCCAACATGTACTAAAAGATTACAGCAAACCTAAATCTCCCAAGGTGATGAATGATTTTGAGCTCTTTTCTTCATGGTTACGCTACATTTTGCTGTCATTTTATATTGCATACAGTTACATTATGTTGTTTTACATACTGTCACTAGTGTTGGATTATTTACATCACATTTTGCTACTTTATGCTATGCTGCATTTTCCTATGTTGTTAGAGCAGCTGTCATGTTAGATATGTTGGATTGCATTATGTCATGTTATAATCTGTTATATTTTGTTCTGATCGCCACACCAAACTTCTGTGCAAGAGCTGATCCTCAAGTTTTATACATTTCATGTATTTGATAGTTATGATTTTTTGCTAGTTTTTGCTAGTTTATTTGATAGTTATGATTTATTGCTGCTCTGTGAAAATGATCTTCTGATATTTATTTTGCTACTTGTCTTCCTGTCATTCGTTTATCAATTCAAAAATGGAAAAAAGTAACTTGTTTATGTTGTGTATATAAAGAGCACAACGCTTGTGCCCTTTCCATCAGCTTTCATTGAGGATTTTTGTCTTAACTTGTTTTTTATTGTCTGTAGCAGCTGATATGACGCAACTTTCTCCCTACTGTCTCCTCTTTCTGCTCCCCCTGATTGTTGCTATCCTGGCAGGTGAGAAATGATAGGCGTTGTTGTTTTCACCAGAATATTCACGTGGATCTGCTTGCAAACGCAGCCTTTTTGCAGAGGAGAAAGACTGTCTTGTTTTTCTTTGTCTCTTTTAGTTGACGATGCTAACAGAATTGTTGGTGGCACAGTGGTAGAGCCTTACTCTATCAAATATCAAGCCTCTCTCCTGTACAGAGATTCCCTCTTCTGTGGAGGCACCCTGGTTCACGCGCAGTGGGTGGTGTCTGCTGCCCACTGCTGGAGGCCGTGAGTAACTGCAGCTGCCCGCCTTCACCAGTCACACCAATACACATTGATATCAGAAGTTAGTCTGCATCGTGGCGCCATAACCAGTCTTTTATGGCAGAAAGAAATGACATCAAATAACTCGGATCTCATCAGGCGTCTTTGAATAAACCCTATGAAGCAAATCGTGTGCTTTTTATTTTTAATAACCTCTGCAGGAATCAGCTGATGAAAGTGGTCCTTGGGGAACACAACATCAAAGAAAAGGAAGGACATGAGCAAATATTTGACGTCTTGTTGATCATAAAACATTACCAGTTCAACTACTGGAACCTTGACAACGACATCATGCTTCTCAAGGTGAAACATCCGCCGGGGCAAGTGTTTTGATTTCGAAAATGCTGAGTCACTCAGAATTGGGAGCCAACAGTATAGGCTGAAATTTCAGACCATGATTTCCCAGTGATGTGAAAGAGAGAAGATGAAAACTTTAGCATGTCAGCTGAGCTTATATGTGAATTTCAAATCTAATTGGCATCCAAAAGTAGTGTTTAAATGGAATATGCAACCATGTGTAAATAGATAACAGTTTATTTCAATATGTCATTTAAAAATATACATTTTTAATGTGAAGTCTAATTAATGTATATAAATATTTTTTAGCAATTATTGTTATTTTATGAGGAGTTTTGGGAGGAAAAAAAGTGCAATAATAATAATAACTTCAACATTTGAAGTTTTTCTACAGATGAATATTTCAAAAATGTATGAACGTTATGATTTGGATTGCAACACCAAGTGCAATAATCCAAAAAAAGGGCAAAATATGCAAGATCTAATGACTAATAAGGGGGGGGGGGGGGGGAAATGGTATCAACAGTGCAGTTTCATTGTCGCCTTTTTCATTTTTTAAATTCAATTGGACATTTTACAAAGCAGAATTACATGATACCTGTGAGGGTTTGTTGCTGAAAAGTATCTTCTATGCATTACTAACATTTTGAGATGACTAAATGAATGGTTTGTTCTTCTGTGGTCAGCTGGACCGCCCTGCTGTCATCAACGAAATGGTCAGTCCAGTTATTTTGCCCCGCACGGGCACTTTGCAAAACTTTGCTCGGTGCACCGTTAGCGGGTGGGGAGTCACCTGGGTCTATGGCCAGAGCCTGTCCCCTGAGCTGATGTCTGTAGATGTGAATTACTTCGCAGACTGCTGGTCCTACTACTACTTCAGGATCACAAACAACATGATCTGTGCTGGGTCCACTGAAGGAGGAAGAGATTCCTGTCAGGTGAGCCACTAAATCACCAAACCAAAGGTTGAGACTGCAGAGGAGTTGTTGTGTTTCCTCTCAGTGTTTAACTAGTCCAAGGAAAGAAATAAAACGTCAGAAATAAGTTTCGTTGATAAAATGGTTAGCACACATAACCATTTTATTTAGAGCAGTGAAGTAAGCTTTAAGCATAGTAAAGTTCTTTTAAAAATTGTTCCAGTATTAATTTTTAATTACATTTCAAGGTGTGTCACAAATCCAAATTCTTCATGGGTCAAACTTAGTTCGGATTGTTTAACTGGTTTATCTGTTAAACAAAAACAAGAGTTGGGACAAAATTAAAACCTATCTGATCACTTTAGACTGCTGGGATTTAGCTCTAAAAAAATATCCCCTTCATTTGCCCTTGCCAGGGAGATTCAGGAGGACCTCTGGTCTGCAACGGCAGACTGGAAGGCATTGTGTCATGGGGCATCGGCTGTGCTTATTCTTTTTACCCCGGCGTCTACACTAATGTGAGAAACTACATCTCATGGATCGACTGGGTCGTCCAGAATAGCTGACCATCCACCGGGCCAAAGAAGACACTCCTGGGATGAATCTTCAAATGGATGCTGGAGATCAAAAGTCTTTTCTGTCTTTTTGATACTTTATCTTAATAAACGTCAGTGAATATGCTCAGACGACCAAAATTTATAGAGTGTTACTTTTTACACTTTTTTTTTAAATCTGGAACTCAGATTATATATTTTATAACAGATCATCCCAGAGAGACAGTTTGTTTTTGAAATAGATTCACTTAAAGTTCAAATAAAGTTGCAAATTCATGTCTGGCATTTTTTTTTTACCCCTCTCAAACAAATCTTCTATTAAGTAAAAAAGAAAAAAAAAAGAAGAAAAAAAGCTAAAATAAAGATACATATTTTCTCAAACTGACTTGTCCTTTTTTGTTGTTTTGCTCACCTTGAGCTAAACATGAACACTTGTGTCTTTCATAATATTGACATCCTCTCTTGCATTTTGTAATGCAAAATGTAAAATAGCTTCAACAATAAGGATAATTGTTAGGTATTTTCTTAACCTACACAAAAAGAGAACCACAGACAACGTTTTAGCTGAGGTTAAGTCTGTTGCAAAAAGAGAAGACTTAGCAAACTGTAACGATAAAGCGAAATCAGCCAGAACCCAAAACGCAGCCAACACAAATGTAAGTTTCATCAAATATTTTAATTACAAAACTAACGGCTTAGAAGGGGCTGAACGGGGCGTGGTCAGACGGGCAGATCATGAAGGGGGAATCCACAGGGGTCAGGGATCCAGCCGGGTGCAGAGTAGGATGAATGGACAACGGGAGATCTTGGAGGCTCAGGGGACAAACAGATGACAGGGACGAAATCCACCAACCAGAGATTGAGTCGTGAAACGATCCGGGGTCACGCTCGGGAGGGCCACAAGCAAAGAAAATCAAGTAATGAGCAAGCTGGAGACAGGGTCAGAGACAGGCAGGGTTCCTCAACAGGAGGTCAGAAATCTTCCAGCAGCAGAAGCAGAAGACAAGGCTTGAAAGCTGTGACTGGGGCAACAAGTGATCTCGCACTGAGCTGGTGATGAGCAGCTGTTTAAATAGGGAGCAGCACAGTGCAGTTGAGGGAAATGAGTAATCAGCACAATCAAGGTGGAGCTGAAAGGCTGAAATCATGGCAGCAAACCACTTCTTTAAGGTGTTTACCATGCGCTCTGACTTTCTGCATCAAAACTGTTCTTTTATTACAAAAGACAGCAGGAATGAAATGTGGAGGGAGGGCTATTCTGAACAAAGAAAAAATACCACAACTAACATTCTACATTCAGGCCGTTTAAGGAGTATCCCAAGATAAGAAGCAGTTGCAGCTTCAAGTTTGAACAAATTCCTCCTCTCTGGGATGTGAATAAGTTTAGTATTCTTGTCAATGAACAACAAACTAGTGAAACTGTTAATTTAAGAATGATAACAAAACACAATTATTCTAACATTTCCCTCCTTTTTATTGTTGTTACATAAAAGCTATGCAAAATATAAGAAAAAGAATACATACTATATACATATAAAAAGGAATATGATATATAAAAGAAACAGTAAAAAAACAAATGTATTTGTTTATTTTTCCCACTAACACCACTTGTTTTCATATTTTCAGAGTCATTAAGCAAATTATTTAATCTGTTTATTAAGTTACTGGACATCATCATATGTTTTTGTTTTCAGGTCATCTTCATTCTTCTGGAGCAACATGTAGTCCTCATCTGTGTCAGAGGTCACCCTGACCATCTGATAGCTGATCAGAGCAGTGTTCAATGTCTTTAGCATCATGCTACGAAGACATGGAATGATGCAGGTTGTGAACAGGCAGAATAGGATCAGTTCCAATCTTTAACAAAAGCTGCCACCAGGGTCCGGAGGTGAGCCAAGAAAGAAAGTCAAAGAGTTGTGACCCTTGAGTTGCCCTCTCCACATAGTTTTTAAGTAGGACATCATGAATAGTTCCACCAGTTCCTGTTTCATCATGGATGAATGTACAGCAGGTTGAACCTATGATCTTAAAGATCATAGGTTGTGATCTCCCTTAGAGGCAGTGAGAAAATCTAACACAACATGGTTTTGCAGAACCATGTTTCTCAATGCAGTCAGCTCTTTTGCGGTGCCTTTTGCTTGCTGGTATGTAGTGTTGATAAGGCGCAGTAGGACGTTTGCTGACCTGTTGGATGAGCCGCTAAATTACTAAACCAAAAGGCTGTCATTTCAAAATTGTTCCTCCAATATTAATTTCAATCACATTTCAATGTGTCACAAATCCAAATATTTATGAGTCAGACCTAATTTGGATTGTTTAATCAGTTTATCTGGAAGAACATGTCAAAATGGAAGATGCAGGAGTTGAAGCCAACTCAAGGAGTTGAAGTCACCTCATCCCAGATGTTGGAGTGGAACTTATTTCAATGTCATTTATGACTGTTGGCTCTTGGACACCTCCACATTTTCAGCAGTGGACCTGTCCAGGTTGAAAAGGACTCTCGATGTGGAGAAAATCTCCTCAAAATCAGTATTCCCACTGAATGGGAAAACCATACACAGTTTGATGTAGGAAAAAGCACCTCTCAAACTCTGTTCTCAAGGCAACATGCCAGAGAGCATCAAGCTAATTTTTCTTTTATATTAGACAATTTAATTCTACATAACTGTAGAGGAAAGAGTCATACTTTATTTAATATTTACCCCGTTTGATGACTGATTCTTGCAGTAAATATTGTACTCACAAATGAAAAAGGTAAATTATTTCAGCTTTTATTGAACGTGCAGCGGCTTCAGTGCGCATAGTAAAGGTAAAATAATGCAAAACAACTCAGAATCACTTGTATCCGTTTATTTGCCCTTTTCTGTCATTTTGCTGACATTGAGCTCCACGTGAACACGAGGACCTTTCAAAAATATTCACATACTTTTTGTATGTTCTGTGTAACAGGTTGGCCTTTTACGGCTGGATTTTTCAGTGCAGATTGATGATATCAGGCAGAGTTTAGGTGGAACAGCAGGTTTATTCCTCCCAGCATCACAAACAATGTCACACTCTTGGTCTTACAAACATCTCAATGTCTCAATATCTCTCTCACAGGTGAAAATTGCAATCTTAAATAGTCCCAGCTGTGACAGTTAAAACAATCTGAAAACATACCTAATAAATTATGCACATCATTTATTTAGTTTTATCCACCAATAGCTCATTGCTCTGAGTATCAATTATCCTCTCTTCACAGTTAACCACCTCCACTGGCCAATGAGGAGCAGCTGTGCAGAGCCCAGAACAAAGGCTACACACCAATCCCTAAAATACTCAATAAATACAATTAAAACTTCCTGAGTGCAAAATGTTAATTTATAGATCTATTTTAAAAGTGCAGTGCTAAATAAAGTGCATAGTGAGAAAGTGCAAATGTTTTTACAGTGCTATACAATACATTGAATAAATTAATTCAGTAATGAAGGCCTCTTCATTACATTCTGTAAAAAAAAAAGGTCTATCCAAAGTCCTATTCAAATGTACAACACAAACACGCAACCAGAACGGGAATGGGAAGATTTGAAAGAAGGAAATGATAGTTCAGAAGACTCGCCCAAGCATATTTTACTATATGACTGTCCCTGATTGCGAATTAAAACCACCTCCCCTTTTTCTTTATGATGCCATGTTGGGTTGGTTTCCGAGCAAACGATTGGCTGTGTTACTGCACCCTCACCCCTTTTCCCTCTGTTCTTTTCATATTTAAAGCAGAGCCACATCATTCTCATTTAGAGGCGCAAAACCAACCCAACAAAATAAAGAACGCAGGATGGCCCAGCAGGACTTGTCACAGGAAGAAGTCAATGAACTGATCCATCAGTCCCACGAGGCCAAAGAGTTTTCTTTCTCTCCCTACAGCAAATTTAGAGTGGGAGCAGCACTCAAGACTCGAGACGGCCGCGTCTTTAAAGGTAAGCTGTGGGACTGGACAACTTAGAAGAGAAGATAGGCTGAACAGAGGTTGAATTTGATTTCAACAGAAACAAACTGTAAGTACATTGTGTTCAGTGTTACGCAGTCTGACTCAGCCAAATCAGTTTCGACTTCTGGGGTAAGATCCCTGATTCATAGTCTAACCGGCACATAATGTAAGTTTGTTCTGAAGCTGATGCTGCTAAATAATGTTAATTGTTACCTAAGAGTTAACTTTGTGGAAAATTCAGAGTAAAGGATTACAATCGAGCCTATCAATCAATAATCCTCCCAGGTGACAGGACATCGCAAGTCCATCTGACAGAATCACATGTTACCGTTTAACGATATAGATGCAATCTGTGCCAACCTCACCTTGTACACGGACACAGATGTCCTGTCAGCATTGCTGGACAGCACAAAGCTTGACAAGTCACCTGTTTTCATCACGTGAGGGGGAGGGGTGAAGGGTGGTGAGGTGAATGACAAGCAAACAGCTGTGAGTCCAAAGACTCAGAGAGTCACTGTTTGAAAAGACCTGAATAAGTAAATAAGCCAGCTCTTTTAACCTGTAGTGGGTCTCTTTACAGGATCATTCAATATGTCTATTTTGTGCCTCTGTCAGGTTGCAATGTGGAGAATGCATGTTACAATCTGGGAGTGTGTGCTGAAAGAAACGCCATTGCAAAGGCCGTGTCAGAAGGTTACCGAGACTTCATCGCCATTGCCATCGCCAGGTAACCAGCGCCTTTGATAGATGTCTGGAATTCACTCCGGACAGGAATTTGTCCCGTAAACACTCCTGCACTACCAAACCATGAGTCACTTTGCATTGCATTTTTCTTTGCGCATCAAAATGCTTAAACAATAATACACAGTTTCACACAAGTTTGGTAATAAAATTATACTTTCCCAGAAAAAAAAAAAAAGAAAAAAAAGCCTTCCCTACCCAGTGACACTATCCAGCTACATCTGAGTCATTGTCTCCCATTGTGTTCAATACAAATTCTTTCCTGAAATGTCAATGGAAACATTTTTTAAACTTATATCAACAAGTCTAATAATCACTTTTATTATAATCAGATGTTACATTTTCTATAGACTAGAATGGAAAGCTCTTCTCATGTACTCATATCTTCTAAATAATAGTGAGAAATTGTATGAAAACTTCCATGAGCCACCAGACCTCTCCATAAAGACCTTGGAGGCTTTAAGTTGGCAATCAACTCGCTTATTTAACAAACCAAACCAGAGACTTTAATTAGTCATTCATAACTAACTAAACTGAAATTGTTCATGAACAATTTCACTCTTTCCTGCCCAAACATTCAATACCTGTTTATATTGAGGAAGTAAAGTAAATCAATGGGGTTTATTGATTTACTTGACAGGTCGCCAGTCTGTCACAGGGCAATACAGAGACAAGACAAACAGCCATGCACACACACTCACCTATTGAGAATTTGGAGAGAACAATTTATCTAAGAGTCATGTTTTTGGAGTGTGGGAGGAAGCCAGAGTACCCGGAGAGAACCCACGCATGCACAAGGAGAATATGCAAACTCCATGCAGAAAGACCCCAGGTTGGGAATTGAACCCAGGACCAGTGCTACCAGTTGTGCTACTGTGAAGCTCTTCTCTTTTAATATTGATGCTTATTTTTACTCTTCAACAAGTGTTCCTGCTTTACATCAAGAATACACTGCATTTTCAGAGGAAATGCATTTATTCTAGTTTAAAGGGAAGTGTGCCTTCTGATCTTTCAGTGATATGGAAAACGAGTTCATCTCCCCATGTGGAGCCTGCAGACAAGTCATGAGAGAGGTATGATGTGCTTTTGTACTATCAATACTTGGGTTTTTTTCTGTCTCCAGGCAGTACATGTTAGTTTGAGAGTAAATATACAAAATATACTGGTGAGTAATTGAATTGCACATGGCATATTACTATGAATGACCCATCTAAGATAGAAAGATATAATGTTTAGATAAAAAAAAAAACAGTATTTCATCTTATCTTTTTATTCTTTCAACTACAGTTTGGGTGTAAATGGGACGTTTATCTTACAAAGCTCGACAAGTCGTACAAGAAGATGACTGTGGACGAGCTACTGCCCTGCTCCTTTGGCCCTGAAGACCTGTCCAAGTAGAAGGTGTCCAACATTCCCAGCAATCACCGAGTTTGGTTTATATGACAAATTAATTTACGGAAGCAAGACAAGATTAGATACAACATACTACTTTAAATAAATAAATGTCTCGTGAAAAAAGGTTTCAGTGAAGCTACTGTACTGCAATAAAAGAAATTCACTTAAAAGTTTTGTTTGTTTGTTTCGCGCACACCTTTAACAATAAACGCCACATGTTTAGCAGCAGTTATATTTATGTTTAATACCAATTTTTGTATCCACATTATAAAAATATGACCAGAGATTTGTTTTCAGTTTTGCACCACTGACTCAAAAACAGCTGATGCCCTGTCAATGTAGATAAAAATATTTATTAGTTCCAAGAAGCAGTAACAGAAATCGATTGACACATTTTAATAAATAAACATTTTCTGAAAATGAGTAATCTTTCATTTTCTATAGCAAGATCAGAAAAGAATTGTTAGGTTTCAGTGTACAGCAAATATTATTTGTTGAGCAGCAAAAGATTATTAATAGTTAAGGAATTAATCATCAGGAAAAGTGAAATATTTAAGCAGTGGGGAAAAAAAGAGAAAATAAATCCAGCAGTGTTTTTTGAGTCTACCTACTTGAAGCTTACACATTTGAGGTTAAAGGTTAAGATTTAAAGAAAGACAGACTAATAGGTTCTGACTGTTTCTCCCAAATGTGACAAAAAATATTTTCAGTTTTCAAATGAACATTTCCGAATATTCCTATTTGATGCATAAAATCTCTTGAAGCAGTTTCAAAGTTACATTTCCATCAGCTAAAAAAATTAAGGGGGAAAAAAAGAATGGCTTAAGTAATTTTCAACATGTGCTAAATGAAAAGTTCTTGGGAGTTTGAAATTTGCCAGGGGTATGAATAATTCTGAGCCTAACTCTATTCCTTCAGGCCACATGTTGAAAAATCAATCTCTAAAGAAAAGTCTTAAAAAATAAAAATAAAAAAGCTTCAAAGCTTGAGGTGCATTTCAGAGGCTTGGTGCATGTTTAAATCATTTAAGAAGTGCAAAAAATGGCACACACTGAATGACTTCACCTAATAAATAAAAGAAGGAGCAGAGAATCAAACTCCTAGGATCAGATGAAGAAATCATGTGTACACACAAAAAGCCATGTACCGTATCTGCCTTTTCTCTACAGGTGAACTGGTATTTATGAAGAAAATTAAAATATCTTTACCATAGACATTTCTGCAGCTGAAAAAGAGAAAAGAAATGACAGGATTGAATTGCACCCACAATCTGCTTCTGGTTTTTTTTTTTACTTTTTTTTTTTTTATTACATATTCTCTTGAGTTTCAGCATTTCGATGGCTTCTTAATGCAACAATAAATATTTAGAGACAGGCTCATACATTTTTCTTGCTGTTGGATCTTAGTTTAGCCCAACAAATACATCCCACGTGTTCAGGTCCTGGTTTGGATGTTTTGGACATTAAATATTCAAGCTTGGCTCTATAACCCAACATACAGGTTGAATGTACATCTCCTATATATAGTGTTTGTGTAAGAAGATCTTTCTTGCCTTTCTTGCTCTTTTACTGATCTCTTTTACTTGTTTTTTTGTTATTCAGTTTTTTTTTTTTTTTTTTTCTTTGCTCTTGTGTTTATGTTCAAGTGCATTTGGGTGTGATGAAAGCAGTGTTTGTATCTGGGCCTGATTGAGCCGGGTGTGTCTGCACCAAATCCTGTCGACAGATGTTAATGGAGGATTTTCATCCCATGTAATTATGACAGAAATGTATAAATAAAGCCTATGGTACACAAAGGCATAACAAAATACATATAGACAAATAAATTTCCAATTTCAGACAGGGCTAGACACAGCAAACATCTCCTGCACTGTGAATCATCCAGACTGTGAATATGATGAAGCAATATGGACAAGGTGTTGCTGCTCACCAACAGATCAGTGCCGCGCTACACAAAACTTAAACAGTTATTTGAAAACAACATGGTCTGCAGCTTTCTTTGTTCAGGAGGGAAAAAAAGCAGAAGGTGCAGCTGTTCTTTTCTCTGACCTCAGCTTTCTGCGTGGAAGGCGCTGGAGGCATCGTTCAGCGTAGGCCACGACGAGACGTACAACCTGGGCAGAGTGCCCTCCATGAGCCGTTCCATCCACAACCCCAGCCTGTCCAGCTTGTGGTGGACCTCTAAGCTAGTGGGCCTACTCGAGCCTCTTTTGGGGACGGCGCCATCTTCCCTGGAGTGAGAACGGGAACGGGAGTGGGAGCTGGACCTGGATCTAGACCGTGATTTCCTCTTGCAGTCAGAGGACTCAGACGACGAGTCACTGGGGTCCTCCCCGGTGAAGACGGGTCGGAAGAGACAAAAATATTTCTTGTAGCCGTTGAGGGCCAGGACGTGCCCCGTGTAGTCTGAGGACTCCTCGTCGTCCGAGTGGCTTTCGCTCGGCCCGGCAGGACAGGCGGAGCGAAGGAGCGAAGGCATCCAGTGGTGGTGCTTATCCGCGTTGAGGAACGAGAAGTGGAGGGTCTGAGTGCTGAAGTAGGACAGCAATTTTAGGATAAACAACAGGAATTATGGACCATTTCTTAACACAACTGATGCATCTTATTAGACTCACCCAGAGAAAGAGAAAACCTCCTTTGCAAACTTCTTGAGAAGAGCATTCTTGGAGGCGTTGGTGAGCACCAGCACAACGTTGATGTGACCCGGTCTCAGTTTTACCAGGTTACTGGTGTAGGTGACGTCTGTTAGCTCTGTCACTTCCACAAAGTCCTTCCTTGGGGGACGGCTGCATAACAACAAGAGGAGAGGAGAGAACAATAGCATAAATGATGCTAGGAACTCCACAATTTGGGAATAGTTGGTGGTGTACAAAAACATTATTTAAAAAAAATTCCACTAATTCTTACTAAAGTAAAAATTCACCCCAAACACTTTTAGAAACATTTAACAATTAATTTGTGCACACTTAATAAGAGGGGAAACAATAACAAAATTATTGTGTGAAGCAATAACTGCTGACAGTGATTAATGATACATTTTTAGTCGGTTCCACCCGACTTAATTTTAAATCTAGAATTTCATACAGTTTATGACACCAAGTACTTTGACAGGCCCACAGCACCACAGATCCTCCACCACTCAAGCTTTTGGTTGATGAAAAACAAAACTCTAGTGATTATTGCAAAGGAAACTCAAAGCACACAGTTCCACATAAAGTCCCAGTGGAGTTTTGCAACACATTGTGTCTCTCCCTGCAGGACTAAAAGCAAAGGTTTCTGGCATGTCACCCAAACACACTACTTGATATGTATGGTGTATCTAATGGTTGTCCAGGAGACCTGGTGACTCCAAGATGCTACTATTTGCTGGAGTAGAGCTATGGATTTATTTATTTATTTATTTTACATTTTTTCTTGCCGTTCTGCTCACTGTGTCTGACTGTTAAACATGAGTTCTGTGTTGCATCATATTTAATCACCGTTAAAACAAAAAGTCACTGACGAGTCAGAAAGTTCCTAGAAACTCCTGTCAATTTTTTAATTAAAAGTATGAATCCAAGTAGAAAGCATAAATTTACATCTGGACTAATTCAGACAATTTTCATAGCAAAATTTTTGAACTTTACTTGTATTTGCCAAATAAGAATGACTGTAAATTGTTTGTCATTTAAAGTATTTTGCATATCCACCTTATTCCTAGCCCCCATGAGGCTTTGCGTGATTTATGGTCGAGACTTCCACCGCTAACAATGGTAAACATAGGTTTACTGTTAGCAACTCGCTAACCGGCTTTCATCGGAGCTTTTAGGCAGTAAAATAAGTATGAACACCAGCTATCAAAGCTTAAATGTGACAATATTGTTTTACTGCAACCTACAGCTATTGCAGGGAGGGATGGCGTGTAAAAGAAATGGCTGCATTTCTTCCAGTCGCACTAGCATGTGTTAAAAACTGACTAATATAACTGTGTGTGTATATCACTTTAAGAGCTCAGGAAGCCGTCTGAATAAGCTTTGCTGTGATTGGTTAATTGTAATCTCAAGAGCACATGTTCAGTGTTCTGCGAGCAGAAAGTTGAAGTAATCGTTGGAGACCGTTCAGAGCTGTTTGTTCAAGAGACTGAGAGCGTGTAAATGAATAAAAGTAAGTTTTGTCAGTATTTAAGCAGGATTTATATATCTGTGCAACTTAAATATACATATATGGCAATTTAAAGAGTTAAGATGATAAAGTGAGTTGTAGTTATTTGTGGTCTCTTGCTGCCATCTGCTGGACAAATTAGAAATAACTGTTCATAGCGAGCGCAATAATAGCTTCATTGATTTTGTCTTCTGTATTCCTTGTAGACCACTCTCAGCCGTATTAAAGAAACCAAGACCTGAAATCTTTCCTCTCATTCTTTACCGGATGCTCGTGGTGGCTGTACCATTTAAAGAACTAACACTAAATCAAAGAAGAATAGCAATACGTAGTCTACTTCACTCAGTTGCTTCGGATGCAGATGCGGGATTTCAGCAGCGGCGAACCTCGAGGTTCTAGTTGTGATGGACTAAATATTCCCAGAAATTTCATTTTTTCTTATAAATACATTTTGCTGACCCAATCACAACGATAAAGACCCAGATCATGATCTATATTTTTAAGAAATTCAAACGAAAAATAAAATTCACATCAAAGCAAGCTAATATTTTGTAGTTCTGGTGTTTTGTACTATCGGCATAAACCTGCAGCTCAGATCTCTGACCAGCTTCTCTGCTTTTTCTCTTATTACTGTCAGAGAAACGAGCTGCTAGCAGCGCTGCTAATTAACGGTCATTCCGTTACAAAAGTTAACGATCGTGTTCATGTCGCTCCTCGGGATTAAACTCACAATTACGAGAATCTAATGAGCAGCTCTCTAATAGCAGACGTCGTGTCCGTAAACAAGTTTTACTAAATGTTGTGTTATAACCGAAAAGAGAAATGTAACTTCTATCATAGTCAAGCAAAAAAACCTACAAATTACAGTGAAATACTGCTACTTCCGGTGAGCGCCGGAAGTGATCCTCCTAGGAATAAGGAGGATAAACATTTCAAAATGAGCACTTTTCAAGCCCAGCTTTACCAGAACTTGAAGTTGTCTAAAGTCCAGAAAGAAGTGAAATTATCAATTTTTCCCTTTTTTGAAGGTACATTTACTCAGATAATCAAAAATAATGTGATGTGGCAAATCAAAGGTAAATAATGCAACT